CAACCGGCACAACCAATTAAGGGTTCAATTCATCCCAGCCCTCCTCCTCTAGAGCTTATTCAAAACCAGACATGTCCCCCACTACCGAGACCAGTATTGACGGTTCCGGACATATTCCAAACTTGTCGTTCCATGACCAGGCAGGTAAACATAGGACCAACAACCCATTTTTCCAATTCCAAACTGTAACTGATATTGGAAAGCTAGGAACTGGTCCAACCCATTTCTGGTTCCTCCGAAATAGGACCAAACCGAGAACTGAATCGACAACTAAAACCAATCCGGCCAAGGTTCCGGTTCCCCATCTAGGAACCCCGAAACAAACCTGCCCTCCCCTACTAGGGCCAGTTCTGGCCAAATTTCAGGCTACCCGACTGCCCATTCACCTTTCAGGTTCTGTCTCGGACAAAAGACAGACCCCCCCTCCTGGTCTGCTTCCACTCTGGAACCAAGACCATGTCCTACACTAGGAAAGAGACAGGCGAAGAATCCACCCAGAGATTACATCAAGCCAAGAAAGGGCTTTCCGATGTCATAACACGGGTTGTGCCTTTTGCAGATCATATAATACGAAGAAAATCAACAAAACATATCTAATCTTTTGACCAATCTAAGATACATTTACCTCACATTTGGTCCGATATTAGTTGCATTTTACATTTCTGCAGCAACCAGCTGAACATCAATAGCATGAGTTGGATGATTTTGCATTCACAAAAATTAATTTATAGATGCTTTTTAGATTTCTAGTGATGAAATTGTAGTCAAAATGCAGCTCTATAGTAACTAAGCTAACTTCAAACCATATTGGTTTTTACAACTTACCAGGCGTTCACAGACGCATGGACACAAGCTTGTTCTGCAGAACAATCAGTCCTCTTGGTTCCATCAGATCGCCGTTACCTGGTCAATGCCACAAGATTTAAAGGTCCTTGTGTGCGCAACTTAGTAGTCCAGGTTGCACCCACAAAATTCCATCATTTTTCTATTTTGAACACCTTTTTTATGGAATGGTTCATAAAATGATTGGAGATGCTTGAAACAGATTGAAGGAACAATTGTAGCACCGGATGAGCCTGAAAACTGGGATGCAAAAAACCCAAGAGTTTGGCTTGCTTTCTCAAACTTGAAAGCGGTCACATTCCAAGGAAATGGGGTTCTTGATGGCTCTGGAAGAAAATGGTGGGCAGCCTCTTGCAAAAAGAACAAAACCAACGTAACTGTCAAAATACTCAAAAACTTGAATTTTAATCGAGTATATTTGATTGGAATTGCCATTTTCACCAAGTTTTATTCTCTTCCCTTTCTCAACAGCCTTGCAAAGGAGCACCAACGGTGAGGATACTACTTGTCCATAAGTTTTTTTTTGGGGGGGAGGGGGGTAATTAAGTGTATTTGGAACATAAAAAAATCTAGTGAAAGACAATATGGAGAAAAAAGTGTCAAGATAAAACACTTGTTCGAACTCAATTTTTCAAAAAAAAAAATCCCTAAATGGGAGTAAAAACAGGGTGGTTTTCCTAAATAGGAGTGCTATGTTTCGTTTCCTTAATACAAGAGTTTGTCATCCTTGATCATACTGCCTTATTGAAGCCTAATAATGCCATCAGATGGCAGTATTATTTCAGGTTAGCTGTACTTCACTCCTATTTAGAGAAAAAACATTGTACTTCGGTTTAGGGAAATCACCTTGTTATTACTCATTACTCCTATTTAGGGAAACTTCCTTTTTCTGTTTAAGCTGTTTATTAGTCTATTTCTAGTCTATAGAGGCTATGATATCTAAATATATTTAAACAGTTAATTGATAATAATCATACCACTTTCATTCTTTTTTACTTGCTAGGTTGCTATACTTACCTTTTTGAAAATTTCTTATTACTTCTCCACTCTCCAATTTTGGACTATTCACTGTTATATCAAAAGATGCAAATAATCTTTCTTTTTCTTCTCACACTTTTCTCAATTTGCTATGGCCTACGCTATTTACTACTTCTACAACTTTACTCTTAATTTCCATGAAAACATATTGGAGCGCCTTAATGTGAACCGAGGATATATTTCATCTTCCTTTGCATTTTTCATGATAAAAACAAATAAAAGAAAACAGTTTTCCTAGACATATTTTTTCCCTTTCCTTACTATTTTCCAGGAACCAAACATAACCTAAATATTTTGGATGACCTTACAAACTTGACATGTTAATTGCAGGCTTTTACTATAGATTTAAGTTCTGCTATTAAGGTTAAAGACCTTACAATTCAGAACAGCCAACAGATGCACTTCACCATATCTCGGTCAGAATCTGTGCGTGTCACTGGCGTAAAAGTTTCTTCCCCAGGAGACAGCCCTAATACAGATGGAATTCATATAACTGAGTCAAAAAATGTTGTCCTTCAGAGCTGCCAAATAGGAACAGGTCACCCAAACTAACCCTCTCTACCTGCTACCTATTGTTAATTATATCCTAAAGTATATATAAAAAGATGCATACATGTTGGTGAAGAGCACACCACTTAAATATCTAATGATCTTCCATTTCTCTATATATAGGTGATGACTGTATCTCAATTGTGAATGCTAGCACGAATATCATGATGAAGAAGATCTACTGTGGACCTGGCCATGGAATCAGGTGTAGATGCAATCAAACGTTTCACTTCATTTATTAAGGACTGTTTGCAGATTGTAGTGCATCGTGATGGAGCTGATCTATTGTACACCTAAAGGTGGAATGATTCATACAGCAGTTCTCATAATAGTTTGTCTCATAATATAATTTTTTGTATGCCAGCATTGGGAGCCTTGGAAAGGACAACTCTGTTGGAATAGTGACAAAGGTGGCATTGGATACTGCCTTCATACGAAATGCTACCAATGGCCTTCGAATTAAGACCTGGCAGGTATTGATGTTCTTTCATTCATAGATTCTGCATCATTTCCATATAATTACGGTTGTCAAAATAATAATATGCAAGTCCAACCAGAAAGCAAACATGGATCAAGGCACTTCAGTGTCAACATAAAGACCATCATTATCAGCTCCTTAATTCCAACTACTTGGGGTCTGTGGCATTAACCTTTTATAGCTAATCTATTGTATAATATAAACTACCACCTTCAATTCTTGCAAAAAAATGTGGCGACGCAAACAAGATACCCTTCCTTTTTAAGAAGGATTGAGTTAAAGTAAAAAAATCTAAAACAGTCATCATAAAAGATCATTTCCATGTACTTTAAAAGCATCATTAAACCTCAATGTATTTAAATATTCTGTATGGTCATGATGATCCATTACATGATTGATATTGAAAAAGACCCACAAATTAAAAAAACTATTAAAAACAAACTTGTCTCTGAAAGTGGTGTTTGTTTCAACTATATTTTACTAAGCACAAACTTTGCTCTATTATGTCCTTATTTTGCAGGGAGGGTCTGGTTATGTCCGCACAATACGTTTCCAGAATGTAATGATGGAGGATGTATCCAACCCCATCATCATTGACCAATTTTATTGTGATTCTCCAAAATCTTGCCAAAACCAGGTACAACTAACTCAGGCTAAAGAATTTGAAGGAACTATAAAAAGAAATCTTATAGCATTAACGTTCATTAATAAATAACAGCTGTTTCTTTCCTATGTGAAAGACATCTGCAGTACAAATAAGTGGGATTGTTTACAAGAACATCAGTGGAACTTCAAAGAGTCAAAATGCAATGAAATTTGCATGTAGCAACAGTGTACCTTGTAGAAACATTGTGTTGAACAACATTAACCTGGAGACTAGAGATGGCACTGCCGAGGTCTACTGCAACTCCGTCACCGGAATTGGCTATGGATATGTACATCCGTCTGCTGAATGTCTCAACTCATCTGAGCAGAAAGTTATGCAGCACATAGAGGCTGAGCTAGCAGAAAAGAATAAATTTGTCCACCTTATTCATACTGAGCTATAAGAGCTTCTGATGAGATATTTTCTTGAAAACACATTATTATTTTTTCTTTAGTTTACTATTTTGCCTAAGTTGCAAAATCATTGCTAGGTGTCTCGGTGGCTGTACAGTCAAAATTAAGACCGTTTGCTTCGAAATACTCAGTGGCTACTTGTTCTTGTATTAGTAAAAGTAATAACATGAATGCTACAGGCTTCTAATAACAATGGTCTTGATAAAATGTTATAAATAAATGAAAAAAAATAAAGATGCCCAAAGCAAAAAAAACTGCACCACACAGTGTGGGAGATTCATGGAAAGAAATAAAAAGTTTATTTTTAAGGGTACCCTCCAAGTAAAAGGAAAGGGTATGAAAAGATTACACTACGATCAGACAAGTCGAACTGTTCGACCAAGGGTATGAATGGAAAGAAATAAAAAGTTTCTATTGTTGCATATTTCAAACTAACTGAAAATAAATTGAAATCATACCAAAGTCTACTAAAACAGATTTATCTCTTTTTTATCTCTTCTTTCAGGCATGATGCCGATGCTATAGGGCTCCACTTTAATTCCTCAATTGTTTGAGACAGAATAAATTTCCTTTAAGAACTCTTCTATGGTACTATAAAAAATAGAAGTAAACAACAAACATACAAGCCCATTTCACATAATTTCGTGAACAAACCAAAACAAACATACCCAATATGTCCTACTTGGGTGTAGGTCCCGAGGAGGATGAGATCTATTCAGACCTTACATGGTTACATCTATCCCAAGTAGTAGAAAGGTTGTTCCTGTGAAGATTTCATCTATGAAAAATTTTGCAAAGTTTTGAGGTGGTAAAAACTTAAATATTAGTGATATCTTGGGAAACTTTGAAAGTTTTGTAAATGATTGAAGTTATAGGAAACTGCATCCAATGGCAAAATGTAGTGTGAATAATGTGGTAAAAACTGTGTAGACAATAAACACCAACTAAACAAGACATATGACAACTTCAAAAGGGCAGACAACATTGAGAGTAAGAGAATACAAAAAATTGGGTAGAAACATGACAAGCATAATAATCAAGAATACGAAGAATTATAAATAAAAATGCAAATCAAGTTATGGTACATTCAATTTGTTAACTTACATTGGCAGATTAGCTTCACGCAAATTCTAATAGAGAGCATGTTTTAACTTTTGATTTCCACATACCACACATCCTACACTCTCAAACCACCAAATATTATGTCACATAGTCTTTCCTCCTTTGTAAGCTCTTTGTTATGGTACTCAGCTTCCAAGATTTTCTTTTCCTTCCTGTAGATTTTTAGCTCACCAGCTCTGCCATTTTCTTCAAGGCCATTTAATAGGACAGAGTATGTTCCTAAAGCAACATTTATCCCTTCCTTTTTCATCTTTTCAAATGTTTCAAGTCCTTTGTTAGCATTAGCAGATGAGAAGTAAGCACGGATTAGACTAGTGTAAACAACAGTGCATTTTTCTTCATAAGGCAGCAGACAAAATACCTTCTCAGCAAAAGCATGGACATTTGAACAGCCAAGCCTTTGTATTAGAAGAGAGCTAAGTTGTGAACCCAAAGTTTGTCCAGCACCTAAAATTGCTTCAACAATCTCAACTATTCTCTGAAACGAATTTTGTCTGACAAGTACACCGATTAAAGTTAGATATGTGGTTTTCTCAATGTTTATGCCAAGTTTTTTGCAGAAATCAAATGCTAATAAAGCCCCATTTTGTCTCCCACAGTTACAATTTGCCTCAATAATACTCGAGATGATTCCAGAATCCAATCCAAAGCATTTCCCCAGCAAATCAGTTATCACATGATCAATGGCTATCAGGTTATGCTTGTTCAACAAATACATGACAAGTTTTTCTTCAAACTTGAATCTGACATCCATAATAGTGGAATTAGATACATATGGCTGCAACTCCTGATTGCAATGACATGATAAAAAGTGACGGTTAACTTGCTTAAGAAGAATGACATCGCTCACGCCTGACATATTTAATATTTCAAGAGCCTCCTGATACACCGAGTAACGAAGGACAAGAAAGTTATTTTTCATGTACTCAAGAATTTTCATCATGGTGCTTGTTTCCCTTGCTTTGCAGCATTTCTCAATCAAAATATTGCATGTAGCTTTGTCTGGTTGTACCCCTGCTTCTTGCATTTTATTAAAGATCTCCACAACTTTATCAAACTTTCCTGAATATGGCAAAATAGGAAGAATATAATTATGTTATACAAGTGTACAGCTGGAAAATGTGTCAACTCTTGAAAATCAAAGCTATGAAGAAATCATGCCAATCATGAACACTCTTCAGAGCTCGACTTCATCAGAGCTCATTAAATTAGGTAAACTTAAGACATGCTTAATAATATCCAATTCGTTGGCCAGTGTTTAAGTAAATATATTATACTTTTGAATAACATATACTTTTGTAATTACTGAATTAAAGAAGACCCTTTATCCAAAACAAGTTCACACTTTCCTTATTTGGATGTCCCGAAATGAAGTTGTTGTGTTTCCATGATAAGAAAATTAATATGCAAATGTGACTATTACCCTTAATTTTTGTTCGATTTAACATTAAGCAAGGGTATACTTGAAAAGTAAAAACATAACCTATCTTGTGTAAATATGTGCTAGGTCAAATTGTGAACTTGTTTTTCAGACGAAGGTAGTGCGTGTGCATGTGTGTGCATGCCCAGCTCGTTTAGACTTGGATTATGTTTGCAAGCCAGGAATACATCCAAAAATAAATTAGGCTCGGGCTGGACAATAAGAGAACCCCAAACACAATCCGTAACAAATCAAGCAGGTCTAACAATCAATAAACAAATCATTGCCTTGTATGCCATAAAGATTGAAACAATTAAAAGTGGATCAAGAAAGAAATATTTTCATTTTTCACCTGTGACAGCTAAATGCTCCATAAGGATTGTGTATGTGTGGCAATTGGGAGCACAACCGGAATGAAGCATCTCTTTGTACACCTCAGCACCCTCCCTAACAAGCTTGTGGTCAAACAAAACTTTCATATAAGCTGTATAGGAGACGACAGTAGGACAGCAGCCCTTCTCTCTCATCTCCTTCCAAAACTTCATAGCTCCTTCAACATCCCCAATGTTGGAGAGCCAATGCAGAATAGATGTATAGGTAACCACATCAATCTTGATACATTTTTCTTTCATTTGGCTGAAAAGAAACATCATTGATGAAACCCTCCCAGCTTCCCCGAATATATCGAGCATGGTCGTGTATGTATACTGGTCATGCTTAAATCCTATATGCTTGGTGGCCCAATTGAAAAACAGCCAAGCCTTCTCCATTGGCGGATGAGTCTTGAGAACCTGGTTGACTGTATATGAATCCCATTTTTTTACTGAAAGCTTTTCTAACTGCCCTTGAGCAGAATCCCAAGTTGAGTATCTCAATATATTTGATATTCTCGTCACTAAATCTCTCATGTAAACATTAACCTTCTCCGTGTTTTCACATTTGTTGACCGACTTCCCAGATTTAACAAGATGTCCATTAGCTAGCTTATCGGGTTTCTTCCGTCTCGATTCTTCAAGGCAGTGTATGTAACTGGAGAAAATCTTAGAGGACCTTGAAATGGTGCTACTAGCTGAAATGCCCACGAAAAGTCGAAGTTTTTTCATACATCGAAGGGCACCATGCGAAGGAAACATAAATAAACTCACCGGGGAAAAAAACCTAGAAACCCGATGGTGACTTTGATATCTTCTGCAAAATTATGGGGCGGGGGAAGTAACTAGTAAGTGGGGCGTTCACTTATGGATATACGAGTATTCAGCTATCTTGTTTCTTGTTTTAGAAAAAAAGGATCCCCATCCCAGAGCGGCAGAGCCAAGGATGATCCCCATCCGAGAGCCCCAACCCCAACATAAGATACCTTATTAAATCGAACTATAATTCCGATATGACAGATAGGGGGTAAGACTCTATCTCCGGTACTTACAGAGGTTCTATACACTTTTTAGTATAGTAACATCTCATCCGGTTTCAGAGCCACCCATGATGCTCTTCTTGCAAAGCCATGGGCGCAGGAAGTAACTAGTAAGTGGGGCGTTCACTTATGGATATACGAGTATTCAGCTCATCTTGTTTTAGAAAAAAAGGATGACACCCATCCTAGAGCCTCAACCCCGATCGGACGATACGTTGAGAGGATGTAAATTGGACTATAATCCCAATTTGACAGATAGAGAGTGGGGCTCTATCTCCGGGACTTGCAGAGGCCCTATACATTTTTTTAGCATAGTAATCTCTCATCTAGTTTTGGAGCCACCCGTGATGCTCTTCTTGCAAAGCCATGGGGACGGGCCCGCGGCACCCGCGCTGGAAATGATGTGCGGGCGATTAAGAGGAAGATATTGGTTCGGTAGGGGGACAGCTGATTCTCTCGGGAATTGATAGGGCTAATTTTAGACCGTTTGGAAGGTGGTTTTGCATAGCTTGGTTTGATTATTTAAAGTAAACTATAAGACACTTTTTTGTAATACTCCTACTATATAAAGTATTTTACGTGGAGGGAGAGGAGTAAAATATTTTGAATGCTTTTTATAAAGCACTACAATGTCTTTGCATGCAAATTAAAAATAAATTAAACATCTAGGCAAACAATGTAATCTATTTTAAATGTGTAGTGATTACGCCCGCTAAACTTTGCATGCAATCATTCGCTTGCAAAGATTTAACGTGTCAACTATCAAACGAGCCATTAGGGTGTTTAGAATTGATTAGAATTGATTATGCTTCTCTCTAAATGAGCAGAAGCAATTTTATCTTGATCTTTATGTTGATGATGTTAGAAGTTCACTCGAGGAAAATGACACTTTTTGGATCTCGATCTTTTTTGTAAAAAGGTCTACGAAGCACGTCACTCATGATCTTGCTAGGTCTAGTGTGGTTGCTCTTGATGTTAGAGATTGGTTCGAGAGTTGAGACTTTGAGTTCATTCCTAGTTGCGTTGTAAATCATGTCTAAGGGCATCCTCATTGGGAGGATTATTACAAGATTAAATTGGTGACATGCCAGTTTTTTTAAAGAATTGTCAATGAGTGACATAGATTATTTAATAGGATTATTTGCTACAATAATCTGGGATCAAAATATGAATCCGGATTATTTTAAGATTATTTGAAAAGTATATGTAATAGAGATAAATGCAGGACAGAGAAAAAATAGATTATTTGAAGATGATGATTGAGAGACATAAACGAATTTTGAGATTATTTTATAATTAATTACATAACAATATTTAAATGGTAAGAATCATATAAAAAATTGATTATTAGAGATCATGAATGGAGATGCTCTAATATGATGTGTTGATTTAATAGAAGAATTATTTACCATAACAAAGTCACATTGATAAGTTTCTACATGATAAAAGAGAAAATTATCCCTCATATGACTAAAAAAACATCTATTTCCCAATCTATGACCTAAACACTTTTTTTCCTAGTTTGATGCATGAATGAGATGCAAAGTCTTTTAATTTAATTATTACTAGACGTAGTACCCGTGCGATGCACAAGGTGTATCTAGAATAGAATTAAAATTCATTTAATCCATCATTTGCAATGGAGCCAAAGATTCATTATTTTTTGGCTTGAGATTATGATGGAATAAAGCAAAATGGCTCATTAAACTGTCTGCGCTTCTTTGTTATGAAGCAGCATTCGGTCCATGCAATTTTGGACGCGATTTTCACTATGGGTCATCCGGAAACAGTTTCTCTGTGCTTTAGTATAGGGGTAAGACTGCGTACATCCGATCCCCCTTACCCCACCGTAGGTGGGAGCCTTTGCGGCACTGGGGTAAATGGAAATGAAAATGATATGTTTATTTTTATCAAATAAAAAAGACAATAGAGTTATATGTTTTGTCTTTGATTATGTAATAGCACCTATAGAAAAATAAAAAATTGGTTTGTACTAAAAATTGCAAATAAAAATAAAAAAACGATAAGGTGTAAACAATAAATTTCATGTGGTAATAGAATTAATAAATGATGACACTTCATCTTTGAGACCTCCCAGAACTGATAATGGAATTAATGATAAGTAGGTCGCGTTAAACTATAAAACAGACGAACCATAAATGTTTATATGAGGTGTTTGGGTTTAAAGGTAGAAGTACTTAGCTTCTAAATGGTCCAAATTACTCCTAGAAACGATTTTTTAGAAGTTCGGGAAAACCAACTTCTGAAAAACTGAATCGATTTTACTACTTCTTTTAGAAAAGAAGTAGAAACATAATGAATTCCAAACACATACTTCCTCCGTCCCGAAAAGGTTGGCCAAATTTCCTTTTTTAGATGTCCCAAAAAGATTTGTCATTTCCATTTAAAGTAAGAAATATGTGGCTAAAATTAATTCTCTCTTCTCTGCACAAATTTCAACCACACAGTTTTTACTTTATTAATCCACGTGAAAGTCAACTTTAGCCAACCTTTTCGGGACGGAGGGAGTACAATAATAAGTATCACATAGTATTAAAATGTCTATAAACTTCTTTATAGACCACAATATTAGTGATGTTGATAGCACGCCTCTCATCATCACATATTTGAGTCTTCAACTTACTTCATGACCCTTGACATGGTAATGTGTAATTGACTTTGCGTAAAGACATACTTTGGAAGATATATGTCCAATTGATGCAGAGATTGTCCTTTTTTGTCATCATGACAATTAAATGAAATGAAGATTGGGATTTACCTATATTGATATTTGAAAAGATCATGCTATTTGACGGGGCCAATGATAATCGTGGAATCAAAACCTTTTGACGGATGTAACATTTGCCTCCAAAAAGCATTTACTCAATCGAATAATAATCAAGTAAGTCACATTACATAAGTAATGTTACTGGTCCTTGTTTCTCATTAACATAAAAACAACAACAACCTTTAGTCTCAACTTATGGTTATCCCTCATGCATTGATGGTCTTAAAAAATTAAACTCTTGAGTATGCACTTCATCAGAGTCAACACAAATGTCGTCTTCAAGTGAGAGTGTGTTGTGAAAACACAAATATGTCTTCATTTATCCAGGCATACATGAAATCATATTACTATTGATAAGCTCTACAACATAATTTGTGGGTGTCAAAGTAGCTCTTTGCTAAAAATATGACGATCAGTCATATTCCCAAAAATGACAGATAAATGCTAGCAACAATTGAAGATAAGCTTAAGATTAAGATAAAATGTACAAAAAAAGTCGGTCAACTACTGCTTGTAGGCACCAAGCCATACATATGATACATTTTTATACTTTTCATTTATTAGAATTATTGTTATTTTTGTTGTTATTGTTGCATAATTGTATCAAAAAGGCTTTATTTGTTATAGACATTATTAAAAATAGCTTGTTATAATGGGTAGTTAAATACATATTCTCTAATAAATATGATTTTTTATTGTTATGATGTTTTTAATTGGATTGAAGTTTTTTGGGTATGATGTTTTTTATTTGACTGATATATTTTCCGTTTTGATCTGGTCGTTTAAATTAGGCCTTGCCTAATTTTATCAAGTATGTTCTAATATGGTCTACTTAAGTCTAATTTAGCCTGATTTTAAAATTTTAAATGAAAAACATATTTACTATATAATGACTATTTTTGGTAGTGGTGTTATTTTGTACTGACATGTTAGATAATACTACGTAAATCATTTGTTTTCATTGATATTTTTATTTGTATTTTCTGTATTTTAGAATTGGATAATATAACAGATTTTCCCCCAAAATAATGTTAAACAAAAATAATAATTACTAAATTAGTATTGGATTAAAAGTATTTTTCAAAATATCGTTCTGACAATCTAGAGTTAAGAAAACTGCCGCTTGAACTGGCGGTTTTGGCAAATGTTATAACAACTTGACCAACATGAGCATTTTTTTTACTCCAGGGGCATCTGGGGGAGGGGGCTGGAGGCCTGGAGTAATCAGGGCTGAAACTCACTCCATTGACCAACATGAGCATTAGTAATCAGGTTCCACCAAATTAAAAACACCTGTTTTGTTTAAAGTGGCATAACTTTTTTATTTAGGATGTTTTTACTTGGATTGTAATTTGTTGTTCTGGTCTGATCTGTTTAAGTCTGGCCTTGTCTGGTCTGGTCTATTTTAGTTCGGTCTAATCTAAACTAGTATGGTCTGGTAAACGTTTGGTCTCTGTGTCTTTTATAACTACAGAAGTCAAGTCTGGTCTGGTCTATTTAAGTTTGGTCTGATCTGGTCTGGTCTGATCTAATCTGTTTAAATCTGGTCTGGTCTGGGAGTAGATTGGGACTAAAACCAGTCCAAGTAAAAACATTAATATTATATGATTGTTACAAAAAGTATATCAAAACTCATAACATCTTATTCGTTCATGACACTAATATTGCATATATAATAATAAAACAATTAAACACTTAAGACTTTAGTTTTTTAAAGTGTTGTTACTTTTTTATTTGTACTTCAATTGTTACAAAAAGCAAATCAAAATTCATATCTTTTTAATATCTTTCATATATTACCAATATCACACACACATATAATTAAGCACTTTAAAAAGACTTCATTTTTTGTAGTGTTGTAGCTTTTTTATTCATACTCGGATTCTTAGTGAAAATATATCAAAATTCACAACTCTTTATTATCTTTCATATGACACTAATATTGCATATAAAAATAAAAAATAATTAAGCACTTTAAAAGATTACAGTTTTTTAAAGTGGTGCAACTTTTTTATTTGAACTCCGGTTGTAACAGAAAAAAATATCAAAATTTATAATTTTTTATTATCTTTAAAATATTCCATACATAAAAATAAAAAAATACTCCGGTAGTTTAGTAATATTGTA